TTTTTTTTTTGGTCAGCCCCCGAGAAAAGACAGAGAGTTCCATCGGCTTACAACCGGTTCATCAAGTACGTATATATGCATACATATAATTAAACACACATATATACAAAATATTAGGAGTACATATACATACGCACAGGACAGGAGTTAATATATTTTAATAGGTTGTTAATTGATTTATTGGTTACGAACAATATGCATGTTGACAAAATTTAAATTGTTAATTTTAGACTTTGTAATATTAAAATTGAGAAAAGTAATGGATAATTAATAATCAACAATTAATTAATTTTTTTTTTCACACTATTTGAATATTGATCCACACATATACATACACAGTAATACACACATTAATTAGATGTGTTTTTATAGATAAATGTGCGTTGTTTTTCTCGGCAGCTTTAACAACTATTGGATTTTGAGCTTCTTTTTAGAGCACATAAATTACTGTAATTAACGAGGTCAAATGCTAACATACAACCTATGAAGAATCAAATCGAATATATATATATATATATATATATATTCTCATTTCGTTTTTTATTTTAATTTTAATTTTAATTTTGGTTTGTCAGAGACGAGATCCAACGTATCAAAGCTGGAAATCCTGATATAAGTCATAGGGAGGCTTTTAGTGCCGCTGCAAAAAATGTGAGATCCAATAATCTTTTTACTTTGTAATTACATAATTTTGTAATTAATTATATATAATACAAAAAAGAGTATACATATTCTATATATTCTTTCTACTTTGTAATTACATAATTTTATCTATATAACCTATTAATAATAGTTTGTGTTTTCAATTTATGTATTATTTTTTTAACCATGATTCTGTTTTTATTACTATCGACTTGAATTAAAGTATTCTGAATTTGATAGTGGGCCCACTTTCCCCACATTCACTTCGGACTCATGCCTGATGATCAACCCGTGAAGAAACCAAATTTGTGCCACCAGGTATTTCCAAACCCTAAATCTTTAGCTGACGAGCCAAGCCGAGCCATTAGCATTAATAAACGAGCTGATGATACTCGACTTCGAACTCGATTATCAGAAACTCCTATATTTCCAATACTAAATGCGGAAGTAGTATTGATTTTATTTGATCATTTTTTTTTTTATTTTTTTTTGAGTTTTGGAAAAATGTAATAATAATAATGAAAGAATGAATAATTTTGTAGGAAGGTGAAGAAGTGCTGAATTTGAAGGAGAATGGATTTCTCTAATTAAAAAGAGAGTGACCCAAACGTCTTATGTACGTTAATTAGTAGTTTGCTGTGATTTTTCTTTATTAATTAGTTTAATTATGTCATTAGGGTTTATTAATTAACGCGTTCTTGTTTTGGTGTATGTCTCTTTGAAAAAGACTGGTTAAAACGGAACTATCCTTGTTGTTCTTTCTTGCTTAACGTATATTTAGAATCGAACCCCACAGCCACAGGCCTAAAACTCAACCTTAATTTGTGCTGAACTTTATGTCATGACTTGGTCCAATTATGTGACCAGAGCCCAATCCAACCAAAACTTCACCGGCTAGCCCATGTTACATGGCCCAAGTCCAAAATATTTGTTCTCAATCGACACAGAATTACATATATATCCTTCTCCCTGACGATTGTCTCATATGATCGTTAAAGTACCAGAAACATAACAATTAGGAATTGTCTATCACCAACAAATAGACACTTTGATGTTAGACTTCAATAATCAACTGAAGATAACTTCACTAGTATTATTATGTACCAATAACTGAGTTAACAGCCATTGATCTGATCAATAAACTCAAATCTATCATATATATGCATTAATGCACCAAAATGTATAGGAAAAAAAAA